TAAGTGTGGCTCAGTCCTTGAGCATAGATCCATGCACCAAGAGGTCATTGGTTGGATTCCCAATCTGAGAGCCTGGGTTGTGCTCCCAATCCCCAGCAGGGGGTGTGCAGAAGGAAGCCAAACAATGTTGTTTCTCTCTCATCATGTTATATCTCTCTCCCTCTCCCTTCCTCTCTCTCTAAAATCAATACTTTTTTTTTTTAAAGAGGACCAAGTAAATAAATTGTTGTTCATCCACACAGGGGGATATTACACAAAAGTTAGGATGAATAAACTAGATTCAGGTGTAATAATCTGAAATGCTATTCGAGGGATTTGTAAAGGTGGTCAAGAGAATGGGATTGTGCCGAAACCGGTTTGGCTCAGTGGATAGAGCGTCGGCCTGTGGACTGAAGGGTCCCAGGTTTGATTCCGGTCGGGGGCATGTACCTGGGTTGCGGGCACATCCCCACTGGGAGATGTGCAGGAGGCGGCTGATCGATGTTTCTCTCTCATCGATGTTTCTGACTCTCTATCTCTCTCCCTTCCTCTCTGTGAAAAATCAATAAAATACATTAAAAAAAGAGAGAGAGAGAAGGGGATTGTCCTATTTTAAGGGATGAGAGAGAGATACTTGTGAATGCATAGAAAATCCTGGAAGAACAGAAAATGTTAAGTGGTTGCCCCTTTCTGAAGACTGGGATTTGGAGTGGGAGAGGAGGTAAAAGAATTTTATTTTTCATTTTACATATTTTGAAGTGTGAAAAAAAACTTTAAAACTACCTCATGTAACTTTTTTTAAAAAAATATATTTTATTGAGTTTTTGCAGAGAGGAAGAGAGAGAGATAGAGAGTCAGGAACATTGATGAGAGAGAAACATCGACCAGCTGCCTCCTGCATACTCCCCACTGGGGATGTGCCCGCAACCAAGGTACATGCCCTTGACCAGAACCGAACCCGGGACCCCTCAGTCCGCAGGCCAACGCTCCATCCACTGAGCCAAACCGGCCTCGGCTCTCATGAAACTTTTATAGTTAGAAGAATAAACCTAAATTTAATGCTAAATACTATGGATCTAAATAGGTCAACACATTTACATAAACATAAAAACGAAAGATGAATGAGAGAAAATAACATAATCATTTCCCCAAAAGTTACCTGAACAATGGTGAATCCAGATCTGATAATAATATCTTGTATCTCCTCCTCTTTGTCAACAATATCTGGTTTGATAATGGCCAGAGTTTTTTCTACATATATCTGAAGTGGGGACATCGATAGTTCCATTCTGGTTTTTTGAGGTACAAGTTAAAGAGATTCTTGACGGTATCAACTGCAATGACATGCATTCCCCCGACCCAATTAAATGTAATTGTGATTAAGAACGGCATTATTAAGTGCTTGATCTTATTAATTTATAGTTAGAAACTGCAATATAGTTTTCTATAAGCAGTGTCTTTGATACAGGCATACATGGGAGATATTGCAGGTTCTGTCTCAAGTATCGCAATAAAGGGTGTGATCATCTTTTTTCTGAATGCTCTAACCACTGAGAAAAACTGGCGAGGGCTCCAATATTTCTTATATTGAATATAGCTGGTGCTTTCACATCATACAATCTTTCTTAGAAAATGGGTCAACCTCTTTATTCTTGAGTCCCTTTTTGCCTCCTTTCATAAGAGACTGGTTCTTGCCCAACGCCATGGTGCTGCTCAGAGAGCCAAAAGGCCAATCCAAGTTTTTAAAAAATTGCTACTTGGTTTTCCTAACATTTATTAAAAAGTTCATTTTACCTGAGTCCTTTCATTACTATATGAAATATTTCCTTATACTTTCCTGTATTCTTTTCTTACACTTTCTTATACCATCCCTATCTTCAGCTTCCACCTATCCTAAGTTCAACTGATATCCCATTTCTTTCCTGAAGATTCTCCTTTTCATTTTTAAAAAAAATTGACTAAATAGGCAATATGACACAGTATAAGAGAATAAAAACTGGAATTTCAAATAAAAATGCTACAAAAAAGGAAGATTAAACATATTAAATTCTATTTAATATTTTTTTACATTCATTTTCAAACCTCTACCAACTGCAGAACAAAAAAGGCTTAAAACATTAAATGTTTGTAATGATTGAAAAAAAAATACCAACAGTCTCAAAGTCTATCAATAGAGGACCAAGTAGCCCAGTAAGTGTGGCTCAGTCCTTGAGCATAGATCCATGCACCAAGAGGTCATTGGTTGGATTCCCAATCTGAGAGCCTGGGTTGTGCTCCCAATCCCCAGCAGGGGGTGTGCAGAAGGAAGCCAAACAATGTTGTTTCTCTCTCATCATGTTATATCTCTCTCCCTCTCCCTTCCTCTCTCTCTAAAATCAATACTTTTTTTTTTTAAAGAGGACCAA